AATTTGGCGCACCCCTCACACAATTCGTGGCCCATTAGGGAGCGGGTTCCAGTGGCAGAGTCCACATGGCGGCGCTGCCTCATGTCGGCGCACCCCTCACACAGTGAGGCCCAATAGGGAGCTCCACAGAAGCCCAAAGCGTCAGGGTCCACGTGGCGGTGCCGCCCCATTTTGGCGCACCTCCCACACGATTCGTGGTCCCACACGGCGATCAGCCGAAGGCCCCAGTGGAAGGGTCCACATGGCGGCGCCGCCCCAATTTGGCGCAACCCTCACACGTTTCGTGGCCCAATAGGAGCTCCACCGAAGGCCCCACTGGCAGTGTCCACATGGCGGCGCCGCCCCATTTTAGCGCACCCCTCACACGGTTCGTGGCCCCATAGGAAGCTCCACAGAAGGCCAAAGCGTCAGGGTCCACGTGGCGGCGCCGCCCCATTTGGGCGCACCTTCCACACGGTCCGTGGCCCCATAGGGAGCTCCACCGAAGGCCCCAGTGGAAGGGTCCACATGGCGGCGCCGCCCCAATTTGGCGCCCCTCCCACACGGTTCGTGGCCCCATACGGAGATCAGCCGAAGGCCCCAGTCGCAGGGTCCACATGGCGACGCGGCTTTTTTGGGTGCATCTCTCACGTGGTTCGTCGCCCCACAAGGAGCTCTTCCGAACGCCCCGGAGGCGGGGTTCGCATGCGGCACCACCCTATTCTAGCACACACACACACACACGCACACACACACACACACACACACACACACCTCACACGGTTCGTGGCCCCATAGGAGCTCCACCGAACCCCCCCAGTGGAAGGGTCCACATGGCGGCCCCGCCCCATTTTGGCGCACCCCTCACACGGTTCGTGGCCCCATACGGAGATCAGCCGAAGGCCCCACCGGCTGGGTCCACATGGCGGCGCCGCCCCATTTTGGCGCACCCCTCACAGGGTTCGGGGCCCCATACGGAGATCAGCCTAAGGCCCCAGTGGCAGGGTCCACATGGCGGCGCCGCCGCAATTTGGCGCACACCTCACCGGGTTCGTGGTCCCAGACGGAGATCAGCCGAAGGCCCCAGTCGCAGGGTCCACATGGCGACGCGGCTTTTTGGGGCGCGTCTCTCACGTGGTTCGTCGCCCCAGAGGGAGCTCTGCCGAACGCCCCGGTGGCGGGGTTCGCATGGCGACCCCGCCCTATTCTAGCACACACACACACACACACACACACACCTCACACACTCCTCACACCGTTCGTGGCCATAGGGAGCTCCAACGAAACCCCCCGGTGGCAGGGTCCACAAGGCGCCGCCGCCCCATTTCGGCACACCCCTCACACGGTTCGTGGCCCCATAGGGAGCTCCGCCAAAAGGCCCCCAGTGGCAATGTCCACATGACAGCGCCGCCACATTTCGGCGCACCCGTCACGCGTTTCGTGGCCTCATTTGCAGCTCAGCCGAAGGCTCCAGTGGCAGGTTCGACATGGCGGCGCCGCCACATTTTGGCGCACCCCTCACACGGTTCGTGGCTCCATGGGGAGCTCCACCGAAGGCCCCGGTGGCAGGGTCCACATGGCGGCGCCACTACATTTTGGCGCACCCCTCACACGGTTTGTGGCGCCGTAGGGAGCTCCACCGAAGCGGTGCCACAATACGGCATTCACAATGGCGTATGGTTGGGTCCTTCGCCAGGTTAATGTTTTGCGGCCACGCTCGCGCCACCATCCCCCAAGACGCGCCGCCGAAGGACGGGCAGGAGGCCTCACGGAGGGGCCCTTCGAGGGGCCCAGCGCCGGAGGCGTCGCCCGAAGGGGCACAACGCCGACCCCAAGAGATCCGCACTGGCGAGGCTCGTCCTGGGCCCAGGATCGGCATGACCTTCTACTAGAACCACGTGCGCGCGTCGCGCGCGCACAGGTACGAGCAAGCTCTGGAAGTGGCCGGCATCAAGGGACAGTTCAACATTGCGATTTTGTTGTACCTCCCCCTGGGATTCTTGCGGGCTTGTTGGGCCGTCTGAAAGACCCTGGAGCATCTTGGGGCCCTCTTGAGGCATCTGGGTGCGTCGTTGGCCTCATAACGCTCCGTGGTCCTCTGGCGTTCATGTTTTGCAGTGTCCTCTGGCGTTTCATGTTCCTTCTCGAGAGATGCACGGGCAACCCTTAGCTGCCAGGAGGGCGTGCTCTGTCTTTCAAAGCTTCAAGATGGCTTAGAGACGACCCAGCAAAACCCCTAGACGCCCTAAGATGGTCTCAAAAAGGCCCAAGAAGTTCAGCAGACGCCCCCAGAGTCCCCCAAGAGATCCCCAAGCAACAGGCGCCCAAAAGGGCCCCGAGATGCTCCGAGAAGGTCCCCCCAGAGGCCATCCTATGTTTCCTGTATAGCTTTTACAAAGGCTGGGAAACATGCAATCCAAGCGATTGCCCAAACTCTTCTCAACTGTTAGACACATAGGCGTTTCGCAAATAGAACGGGACGGCGGTGAGTCGTCGCCTGCGTCTACGATCCGCCGCCCCCGCTTGCAGGAGTGGTGCGCGGCCTGCCAAGTTTCATGGCACGATTGTGAAGGGGCCCTGGGGCACACAAATAAATAGACACAACAAATGACAGAGTTCCCCATACTTCCCCATGTGTTCTGGGTTGTTGTCTTCCCCCCCCCACTTCCCCTAGTCTCCCATATGTTCGGAGGAATCGACGTGTTTTTGTTTCCCTCCTGGAGTTGGCCATCCCAAGACATGACGTGGCTCTCGGCCCGTCCGCCGCCGCCGCACGCCCGCACCGAACGTCAGCACACCTCGCCCCCAGGCAGACCAGCACGGCCGAAGGCGCCCTGCAGGCGGACCCGGGCGGCCCAGGACGGGCAGGGGGTGGCCTCCAAGAGGGGGGCACGGTTGTCCCAAGGAGCCCTCGACTTTGCCCCTTATACTTCGGTCGGGCCTGTCCCCCCACGGGGGGATTTTGGACGAACCATAAAAAATGCCCAAAACATAATCTGAAGATGCCCAAAAATTAAAAAAAATAGTTCCCAGACTGTTGTTTTACTATTTTTGAATACTCCTCCCTGTAGAGGGACAGGCCCGACTTAATCTTCGACCCCTCCGAGACGGAGCAGATGGCATGGAGAGGGCCCGAGGCTTCCCAAGAGAGCCTGAAGAAACCAAAGCAAACTGCATGTGCGAAACGTCTGAGCGGTATTCGCTCTCGCACTACCTCGAGCCTCCAGTCACCAAGAAGAGCGTCCAGCAGTCCGAGGCCTGGCCGCAGAGGCGCACGATGGCCCCAAGACAGCCACAGCGCCACTATCATAGCCCCCGGGAGATCCAGAGGCTGCGCCAAGAGGGCTCCAAGACGGCACTACAACGACCGAAATGTTGCCCCTGGCAGCCCACGAGGCTCCCCCGACGGTTTCTGGATGCGTCAGACGGACAAACAACGCACTAAGACGGCCCAGGATGCCCCCGAAGAGCCCGCAAGACGACCGCAATCCGCCGCCTACCTGGTTTGAAAAACGTACCCTGTTGGGAAATGATGTTTCAAAGCAGGTGCCCCGTCACGCGAGTCATGCCCCAGAAGGAACTTCACCTATGGTACCAGTCGGCGTCTTGGCATGGTGTTCCCCCGCCCTTTTCGGGACATGCCTCTCACGGGTCGTGCCCAGAGGTCCACCTGCAGCCTCAGCGAGCGTGCTCGCGCAGGGGCATCCGAACTATTCGGCACACCCCTCACGCGGACCGTGACCCACCGAGAGCCCATCGCCCCCGTGCACGCATGCCTCGCGGCAGCCCGCTGTCCGCACTCCCGCGGCGCGCGAGACCAGGAGGAGGAGGAGGAGGAGGAGGAGGAGGAGGAGGAGGAGGAGGAGGTAGGAGGAGGGGGAGAAGGAGGAGGAGGATGTAGGAGGAGGAGGAGGAGGAGGAGGAGGAGGAGGAGGAGGAGGAGGGGGAGGAGGAGGAGGAGGAGGGGAGGAGGGAGGAGGAGGAGGAGGAAGGAGGGGAGGGGAGGAGGAGGAGGAAGAGGAGGAGGAGGGGGAGGGGGAGGATGTAGGAGGAGGAGGAGGAGGAGGAGAGGAGGAGAGGAGGAGGAGGAGGGGAGGAGAGGAGGAGGAGGAGGAGGAGGAGGAGGAGGAGGAGGGGGAGGAAGGAGGAGGAGGAGGATGAGGAGGAGGAGGAACAGGAGGAGGAGGAGGAGGGACCCGCGTCCCGCACTACGCAGGACTGCATTCGAGGGGTCCCGCGGCGTGCCTCTCGGGCGCCCCGTAGGGGGGGCCGCGTGGGAGCCCCTCGAGGCCTCGCTAGGGGGCCTTTGGCTGCCTCTCGTGGGCCTGCTGGCGGCTCGGAGGCCCACCTGTGGCACAGGGCCCAACATGTCAGTGGGAGCGCCCCCGTCTGTGACTACCTACCAGACCACCCCAACCCGACCCGAAGACCCGAATTTCGGGTTGTGGGGGGTGTGGGCTCCATATGTGTTGTTTCCATGTTCGCAGACCCCCCCCACACTGGAAATGAAGGGCAAATTGAGGCCTTCGGGTTGCGCTGTTTTTCGTTTCGGTTTCGTCTTGTTGTTCGCTCTGCTCTATACCTGTTTTCCTGTACCTCCCTGCCAAAAGCGGAATACAAAACACAGCCGAAGTCCAGCAAAACAGCGTTTAGGTCCAGCCCTGATGCAGATTCACGCCGTCCTGGCCTGGCCAGGGCGGAGACCGCCCCTGGACCCAGGCTGGGCCGGCCAAGTGTAGAAGTTCTACGGGTAGATCTCTCGCCGCCTCCTTTGAACCACCATTACCATGTGTAGACGGGGGGGGAAGGAGGGTGCGCTCCTCCTCCTCCTCCTCCTCCTCCTCCTCCTCCTCCTCCGCCTGCTCCTCCGCCTCCTCCTCCTCCTCCTCCTCCTCCTCCTCCTCCTCCTCCTCCTCCTCCTCCCTCTTCTACCTATGGTAGTGGTGGTGGAAACGTGGCCCATCACCGTTGTGCGCGCCAGCAGTGCGAGAGCGAGAGGCCTGCCAGAGGCGAGCCGCCCCTCACTTCGACTCGCAGGACCCCTCGGGTTCCGTGCTCACCGGCCGGAAGGTGCGCGGGAGGTTGATGCCAACCTCGGCGGGGCGGCCTCGGAAAAGAAACTCCACAGGAGGGGGGGGGGGGGCGGAACCACGCGGGCAAGTGCCGCAGAGCTGCAGTCAACCCGCGTAGTAAGGACGGGCAACCTTCCCAAGGGTAGCCTTGCATCCTTGCCTCCTCGGCCCATCCTTCGCCGCCTTCGCTGGCCGCGCCCCGCTGGAAAAGCTTCGACATGGGCGTACAAGGCCCTTGCATCCTTATCGCGCATCCTTACTATACTGGTTGACCAGTACAGAGACTCCACGACATGTCGAGCCTGGGGCTCTGTCTGCATCTTCGGCCTCAGGCAGGAGGCCAGCTTCGGGTCCCGGGGCGGTTCAAGGTCGAGAGGTCCAGGGCCACTCGGGGGCGGCCAAGAGGAGGGCGTCCATGAGGGGAGGGGGGGGCGCAAATCATGGACGGCGACACGTGCGCGGCCCAGGGGCGGGGCCAGGGACGCCGTGGAATGAGGAGAGGCGCCCTGAGATCTGGGGGGATATCATGGCCCCCGCCATGAGATCCCCCCCCCACCCAAACATTTTTTGATTCGCGGGTCGAGAGCGCACCTCTTCCAGTCGAAGCTAAGCGGGCCGCGCAGAGCTTGAATTACGCAGAGAAGGCGAAGACCCCCTACCAAGACATGCAACGTCCTGATCTTTTCAGGACGGCGTCACCGGAAGTCCCGACCCTTTCCCCGGGACCGGCTTCTCGTCCCGAGCCGTTTTTTGACGGCCCCGAGGCCCAGCGAGGGCCCCCCAGGGCCGAAAATAGCAAAAAATCTCCCGTTCTGATTTTTGTTTAACGACGCGACCATGTCTGGGATTTTTCGGACACAATTGATAATCGATTCCCAGAAAATCTGGAAGAATATGGGAAGTGGGGGGGCAGAATGTTTCACGACGCGATCATGCCTGAATTTTTCACGACGCGATCACGCCTGGGCAGTCATCGCCGCCCCCCCTTTGCCGCCCCCCGAGCCACAGGGACCCGAGAGCGCGCTGCCCGGGCAGCCGGAGACGCGCGCGCGCGGCGGGATATCCGAACCAGCCTCAAACTTATCCCTATCCCTGAGATTGACACGCCAAAGGCGATGACAATCTGAGGGATGCAATCGTGACGAGGCGATGCAGTTTCTGGCGATTGACACGCCAGAAACCGAGGGAACCCCTGAGATCGCCATCGTGACGAGGCGATGCCCGACACAGGGATGGGGATAGGTTAACCAGGCTGGTAAGAATCCGCCCGCGGCGCGGCACTCACAGAGGCCGCGCGCCGGGCACACCCGCGCAGGAGGCCGGCGCGCCCAGCCCCCTCGGGAGGGCCGAGCGCCACGTCGTGCCCCATCGCACTCGAGGGCCACAAGCCCAGGAGAGACTGCGCCGACCAGGAGCACATCCCAGGCATGATCGCGTCGTAACAAAAATCAGGACGGGGAGGTTTTGGCCATTTTCGGCCCCCCGGGGGGCCTCGCTGGGCCTCGGGGCCGTCACAAAACGACTCGGGACGAGAAGCCGGTCCCGGGGAAAGGGTCGGGACTCCCGGGGACGCCGTCCTGAAGAAATCAGGACGTCGCATGTCTGGGTATATTATCGAAGCAGTGCCTGTCCGACACACCAGCGAGGTGTCGAGCGAATGCCGCCTCCCGAGGCCCGGCACAGGAGCGCCGTTCCATGACAGCACGCTCTCGGTGCTCGAGATGCTTTCTGGTGGCCAGAGCTAGAATAGGTGGGAACAGCATGCGCCGAGCGCAGGAAAGACACCTGACCACACGAGCGACGAAACGAAACGGGTCTTATGCGGGACGGCATGGCGACAGGGCCGCCAGCGCGGCACGCCGCAGTGGAGAAGACGGCGCTAACAAAGCGCGACCTTACGCTTAAGTCGGGCGTGTCCCCCTACAGGAGGATTTTGGGCGAATAATGAAAAATACCGCAAACATACCCCCAAACTACTCAAAAGACTATTTTTTGACTATCCATGTATATTCCCCCTGTAGAGGGACACGCCCGACTTACCCTTACGCGGGCGAACGCGCGAATGCCCGCGCAGCCGAACCCGTTCTTCGGCGTCGCTCACGTGTGCATCCAACTCCCACCCAGCCAGCGCCGCGCCATCCTCCCAGCACGCATCTGGGCGCTCCTCCATCGCCAGCCCGACCTCGGGGCGCAACTCCCCAGCGACTTGAGCAGGGACCGCCCGTCCTAGCATTCCTATAGGCCTACCACGAGATCTTCTTAGAACCTCCAAATGTGCTTAAAACAAAAACCCGATGTGTTGAAACCAGACAGTCCCAGCCAGAAATGTGCGAAGAACATTCCGTGCAAATCACACAGAAGGTTCTGAGCACATTCCTTGGTGGGCCCATGTGGGCGAGCCAGGACGCCTCCCCACTGCTTGAGCCATGGCTGCGGCGACCCAGCCGGGGCTGCCGCACCGCAGGAGCCACACGCGGGAGCGCTCGCGGTGACCGAGCCCTCCCCGACCGGGCCACCACCAAAAGGCTCGGCTCGGGGCCGGGGCGCGAGGGCTCGACCGGCGCGTCCCCCTGCGGAGCGCCCTCGTGCGAGCCGCCGGCCAGATGGCGGCGGGAGGGGGGGGAGGACCGGGGAGGGAGGGGGGAGGCGGGGGATCGGGGAGGGGCCCTGGGACACACAAAGAAATACACACAAAGAACAGGAATCCCCATATTTTCCTATATTTTCTGGGTTTTTGTCTTCCCCCCCACTTCCCATATTTTCTGGGATATCGAAGATCAATTGTGTCTGCGTGTTTCTTTCCCTCCTGGGATCGGGAAGGAGGAGGGGGGCGGGGGGGGCCCGACGCTCGGAGGGCTCTTCGCCCTCCGCTCGGGGCCTGCGGCGGCCTCCTAGGACGGGGGAGGGAGGAGGGGTGGTGAGCTGGGCACCTCGTCCAGCTTCGCCAAGATCATGTTCACCGCCTCGGGCACGGGGGTCGTCTCCGTCTTGACGTGCACCTCCGCGTTCTCGGGGGCCTCGTAGGGGGCGTCCAGGCCGGTGAAGCCCTTGATCTCGCCGGCGAGGGCCTTCTTCCAGAGCCCCTTGGGATCTCGCTTCGTCAGCGCCTCGATCGACGCCTCGGCATACACCTCCATAAAGGGCAACGACGCGTTCACGTGGACCTCCCGGGCGAACTCGCGGTCGGCCTTGTAGGGCGAGATGAGCCCGCAGATGACAATCGCGCCCGCCTCTGCGAAGAGCTTCGCGACCTCGGCCACGCGGCGCACGTTCTCCTCGGGGGGTACGCAGGCCAAAGCAGCGTTTGGCGTCTTCGTTTCGTCACAAATCGAATGCAACGACAACCAGCCCTTTTGTGCGCTTCTGGAGTCGCGGCTGACCGCCAGGGGGCCCTGGGTGGGCCCTGGAACGACAACGACATGAGAACGGCAGTAAATCGAAAGCACGGTTCGCGTGGTTGCCGAAAGCAACGTGTTGATCGATCCCTGCTCTCCTTCCTGTCTGCTGGCGCGAAGCCGAGGTCGCGGTTGAGCCCGAACCGCAGGTTGTCCCCGTCCAGCCGGTAAACGAAGTAGGACTTCGGCTGGTTGGAGACGAGCGCGTTCTCGAGCGCCACGCTGATCGTGCTCTTGCCACTCCCGGACATGCCCGTCATCCAGAGGGTGATGCCCTTGTGGCCGGTGTGCTTCCACTTGTCCTGGGAAGCAAACCCAAGTATGCGACGTCCTGATTTGTTTCAGGACGGTGTCCCTGGAATTCCCGACCCTTTCCCCGGGACCGGTTTCTCGTCCCGAGTCGTTTTTTGACGGTCCCGAGGCCCGGCGAGGCCCCCCCGGGGCCGAAAATAGCAAAAAAACCTCCCGCCCTGACATTTTCACGCCGCGGTCATGCCTGGGAGGCGAGACCAAAGCGGGGACAGCACCAAAGCGGCACAAGCACCGAGGCGCGCTCAAGCACCGAGGCCCGCTCAAGCCCAGAGGGGCGGCTCCGGAGGACCCCTGGGCGCCGCGGCCGCTCCGGAGAGCGCTCCGTGGAACGCTCTGCGAGAGGCAGGGGCGCGAGAGCGCTTGCGCAGTGTCTTGGGGCCCTCTTGGTGGTAAGTTTTCGGTGCGCCATTCCAAAAACTAACAGCCAACCTTGCGAACATCGAAGAACCTATATACATATATATATATATACACAAACAAATATCTTTATATATATGTACACACAAATATGTATACATATATATATATATATATATATATATATATATATATACATGTACATATATATATATATATATATATATACATGTGGCCTCTTCGGGCATTCTTGGGGGTCCTGTTGGGGGCCTCCTTGGGTCATCTCAGGGCCCTGTCGGGGCCCCTCTGGGGCCCTCTTGGGGGCCTCCTGTGGCCCTTTGGGCCGCATTTTGGGGGGAATGCCGATACCGCTGCTCTTAGGTCGGGCCTGTTCCCCTACATATAGATTTTGGGCACAAAACTTACAAATATTCCAAACAAATACCCCCAAATAATAAAACAACCAAAAAAATCGTCCCCAGACTATGGTTTGACTATTTTTGAATGTTCCTCCTGTAGAGGGACATGCCCGACTTAACGCTGCTCCCTGGACGTCTCCCGCGGCGTGCTCGTTCTGACCCGGGCTCCGCCGCGAACCCGGCCGTATTGCGAGGGGGGGCTCCTATTGTTGGAGCCCTAGCGAGGCGAGAACGAGGGAAACGCACCGACATCGGCAGAAAAAGATTGCACGAGGAATTCGCCAGTCCAAGGGGCCAGAGGCGTGCTAAGATCTCAGGAATCTGGGTGTGTGTATATGAGTATCGTTTAACCGATCCCCATCCCCAGCAGCGTGGCTTGGGTCCCACTGGCCGATTTGCCCCCCTAGATGGGGCTCTTCGGATTTCGAGGGGTATATCCCCAACTGGGGTGATAATTTGGTGGGGGTCTCGAAGGGGATGGAGATGGGGATGGGGATCGGTTAAACGATATCGAGTACTTATACGACCACCCCTCGGGTGATAAGGAGGTTGTGGGGGGGGAGAGGGGGAGGAACCAACATCTGACTCAATCGATCTCACTATTCACCTCACTCAACGGGACACCACGGGACACCACGGAACACCACGGGACTCCACGGGACACATGTCGATCTCACTATCGATCTCACTATCGATCTCACTCAACGCGACACTACGGGACACCACGGGCCCTCACAGGACACCACGGGACAACGCGGGACACCTCTCGATCTCACTATCGGTCTCACTATCGATCTCACCATCGATCTCACTATCGATCTCACTCAACGGGGCGCCACGGGACACCACGGGACACCTGTCGATCTCACTATCGATCTCACTTCTTGGGACACCACATGACACCACGGGACACCTTGGGGCACCACATCGATCTCACTATCGATCTCACTATCGATCTCACTCAACGGGACACCACGGGACACCACGGGGCTCCACGGGGCACCGCGGGACACCGCGATCCACCGCCGGACGGGGGAGAATCGCTTGTCTTGACTTCGCCCTAGCAACGGCGGACACCACGGGACACCAGGGGACACCACGGGACACCGCGGGACACCGCGAGCAACCGCCGGACGGCGGAGAAACATGTATCTTGACTTCACCCTAGCAACGGCGGGACACCACGGGACACCGCGAGCCACCGCCGGACGGAGGAAAGACATTTGGCTTGTCTTCACCCTAGCAACGGCGGGACACCGCGAGCAACCGCCGGACGGAGGAGAAACATTTGTCTTGACTTCGCCCTAGCAACGGCGGGACACCGCGGGACACCGCGAGCAACCGCCGGACGGAGGAGAAACATTTGTCTTGACTTCGCCCTAGCAACGGCGGGTTCACTTCTCTCGCGCGCCCACGCAAGTTCGCCTCGCCCGCACGTACGACACGAACGAAGCGAAACGATTTCCGGGTTGGGGGTCTCCGTTCCACTGCGATCTCACCCCGCAACCTCCGGTATTCTAGTTCACGCGCGCGGGGCCGCCCCTGGGGGTCTCTGGACGAAGAATACCCGCCGGGACCCCGGGCAAGGTTCCAGCAAGGTCCCCGCAGACTCGGATCAGAGATGGTTTTGCTGCGGCGGTTTTCGGAGACCTCCAGATCGTCCCAGGAGCGGCCCAAGGAACCTCAAGGCACCTGAAAAAAGGCCAACGAATCGGAATCACGGCCCAAGAGCGCTCCAAGACGCCCAAGATGGCCCAAGACGCTCAAGAGGCCCCCAAGAGCCCCAAGAGCTCTCCAAGAGGACCCCAAAGAGAGCCAAAAGAAGCAACAATCATTGATGTTCCTTTTGTTTTTCTATGTTTTTCGCGTTGTCGCGTTGTCGGGCTTCCGACGCTCCAAAATGGCCCCAGAGGCCCCCAAGACCGCCCCAAGACGGCCCGAGGCCCAAGACGGTCCAAGAGGGCCCCAAAATGGCCCCAGAGGCGCCCAGGATGGCCCAAGAGGGCCCCAAGACGGCCCCAAGAGAGGCCCAATGACGGGAAACACGAACCACCACTTCGAGCCTTCCGCCCCAGGAGGCCCCCAGGAGGCCCCAAGAGGGCCCCAAGAGAGCCCAGCAGGCCCCACTGGAGGCCCCAGGCGCCCAGACGGCCCCCAAGAGGCCATGCATGCGCCGGCAAACGTTATGTCGGGCGTGCCCCCCTACAGGGGGATCTTCGACGAAATTGTTTTGCCTTGCGATGCTTAGCATTACTTGGCATTGCTTTGCACTGTTTTGTTTCTGCTGCGCGTTGGTTTCGTTAATTTGTGTTGAAATCGCATTGCTTTAGATGGCTTTGCATTGCCCTGCGTGTTTCTACATTGCGTAGCATTGCGCGCATGGCTTTTCATTGCGTTCCAGTTGTGGTGCGTCGCTGTGAATTGCTTCGAATCCCCGTATGTTTGCATTCCTTAGCGTGCCTTTGCGCTGCATTGCTTTGCGCTGCATTGTTCAGAACTGTTGTTCGTCCCCTTGTCTTGCTTTGCCTTGCTTTGCATTGCTTCGCGCCACATCGATTGCACCACATGGATTGCACCACCTAGATTTCGCCACATTAATCTCACCACCTAGACGAAACCGCATAGATTGCAAGAAACCACTGCTTTGGTTCCACACTGGCTGGCATGTCTATATACGATACACATATATGTATCCTTAAGTCGGGCGTGTCCCCCTACAGGGGGATCTTCGACGAAAAATAAAAGATACTACAAAAATATTCCAAAATGGTCAAACAATACTCAAAAATACTCCCCAGACTATTTCGGTACTATTTTCGAATATTCCCCCTGTAGAGGGACAGGCCCGACTTAAACCTATCCACCGCCTGCCGACGCCCCCGAAGCTCGATTCTCCAGGCGGCAGCTGCGGACGAATTTCCCCTCGGCTCGCTACGCGCTTCCAGGCCGAAGTCCTCCCTGGAGATCCCCTCGTGGTACTTGATGTTCGTGCTCTTCGGCTGCGCGCCGGCGTGGACCGCCAGGGCCGCCACGCCCAGCACCACCCGCAGCACCGCGGAGGGCACGGCCATGGAGGGCGGGGGCATCTGGAGGGCACGAGGGGCACCAGCCCAGGCCTCCCCGCGTCATGAAACAACTCCTCCTTCGGCGGTGGACAAACCTCCCTTTATGAAAACCTCCCCTTAGCGAAAACGGGCTGGGACCGAAACCGACGGACCTGGACCCGCAAAAATGACGGCCGCAACGCCCTCTCGCGAACCGAGAACGGCCAATTCCTTAATCGACGTGTCAGGGTGGGAGGTCTGTCCATCCCCGACTCCTCCTCCTCCTCCTCCCCCTCCTCCTCCTCTTCCTCCTCCTCCTCCTCCTCCAGGGGCCCTCACAGGGCTCTGGGATGAAACGCAGGCCCCGTTGAAGGGGTCAAGGCCTCTGCGGCCCCCCGCGAGGTCTTCACGACGACTGAGATCTGGGAGAGAGAGCAGCACAACCCGATTCGGCGCTCCCTGGAAGCACTGCTCGAGCCAAAAAAGGCCTCCGGCCGAAGGCACGGAGTGCAGAGCGAGGTGGAGGAAGACCTACCCGTCGTTATTCTTCACGCCACTCCCAAGCTCGAAGCCCTGCCACCCGACATCCGCCTTCGCATTCTGCAAGCACACACACGCGCACACACGCACTCACTCGCTCACATTGTAATACACAAATGTGTATACATGCATGCATGCATACATACATGCATGCATACGTTCAAAAATGCATGCATACATACATACACTCATACAGACATACGGACTTACATGCATACCTACCTACCTACCTACCTGCCTACATGCATACATGCATGCATGCATGCATGCATGCATATATACATACATGCATGCATGCATACATGCATGCATACATACATACATACATACATACATACATACATACATACATACATGCATACATACATACATACATACATACTACATATGCACACACATGCATGCATACATACATACATACATACATGCACATGCATGCATGCATCATACTACATACATACATACATACATACATACATACATACATACATACATACATACATACATACATGCATGCATGCATGCATGCATGCATGCATGCACATACAGAAGTGCATGCATGCATGCATTAATCCAGACATGCATATACACACATGTATATATATATATATATACGCCTACCTACCTACCTACCTACCTACCTACCTACCTACCTACCACCCTACCTACCTACCTACCTACCTACCTACCTACCTACCTACCTACCTACCTATATACCTACCTACCTACGTACGTACGTACGTACGTACGTACGTACGTACGCGCATGCGTGCAAGCATGCATGCATGCATGGATACACATATATCTCTATATACAAGTGGCACGTGTGTGCCCAGGCTCATACAAAAAACTGAAGGGGCGTTTAAAGCAGGAGTGAAATGCAACATCGAAGTCGCACTCGAGCGCAAGTGGGGTTGTCACACCTTGCGATGGGTGTACCAGGGCCCCCAGGAAGCCTTAGGAGGCCCGACTTGGATACCAGAAGAGGCTCCAGGAGGCCCCAGGATTGTGAGTGTTGTGCGCGTGTGTGTGTGTGTGTGTTGTGTGTTGTGTGTTGTGTGTTGTGTGTTGTGTGTTGTGTGTTGTGTGTTGTGTGTTGTGTGTTGTGTGTTGTGTGTTGTGTGTTGTGTGTTGTGTGTTGTGTGTGTGTGTGTGTGTGTGTGTTGTGTGTTGTGTGTGTGTGTGTGTGGTGTGTGTGTGTGTGTGTGTGTGTGTGCGTGTGTGTGTGTGTTTGTGTGTGTGTTTGTGATGTATGCTTCGTGTGGTGCGTGCTTTTTGTGTGTTGTAGGTGTTGTGTGTGTGTGTGGGTGTGTGTGTGTGTGTGTTATGTTTGTCTAGCGTGTGATGTGTTGGGCGTGATTTGTGTCTCTGTGTGCATGTAGTTCTGAAGCCCCAGGAGGCCCCAGGAGGCCCCAGGCGGCCTCAGGAGGCCCCAGGAGACCCCAGGAAGCTTCAGGAGGCCCCAAGAGGCTCCAGGAGGCCGCAGGAGGCCCCAGGAGGCCCCAGGAGGTTTCAGGACAACCCCAGGAGGCTCCGAGGCGGGGTCTGGGGTGCCAGAAGGTTCAGAAGGCCCAGGAGGCCCCAGGAGGTTCCAGGAGGCCCCCAGGAGGCTCCGAGGCGGGGTCTGGGGCTCGATTTTGGAATGATTTTTCAAGCGAAACCGCCATTCACTGAGAATCGGGGTCACAATTATTGAAATTACCATGTGGTTTTGAAGGTTTTATGTTAAAATGTTGAATTTCCCATGTGTGTTTGGACCCTGACGTCGCGATCTGCGTGAGGGGTGCCACCGATGTTCAGAATTTCGAGGATGTCCCGAGCGAAACGCCCAGAAAAATCGCGGACGCGTGCGCATTAATCGCCTCTGAGCTCTACTCCCTCGGAGAGGTGCGTATAAGAATCTACATATATATTTATATATACATATATATATATATATATATATATATATATATATGTATACATGTATATATGTGTGTATGTGTATACAAAAACAAAACGACAATAGCCCCCCCCAGGGCTCCGCTCACTCCGCTGATCACCGTTTCCAGCAAATCGCGGGAACAACCCTCCCGGGCGTCTGAGAGAGCCCGCCCAGGGCCTGGAGACGGCCCAGGACGCCGCCGAGACAGCCAAAGAGTGCTCCAGGGCTGTCAAAAACAGCCCCCCGACGGCTCTTGAAGCCCCCAAGAGCACTCAAGATCGCCCCAAGAGGCTTCCAAGAGTCCCCCAAGAGCTCCCGGGAACCCCTCGAGACGTCAAAATGATTTCAAATCCATGGAAAATCAATGGTTCCCTGCGTTCTCGCACTTCCGCCTCCGACACGCCTCCGAGGCTTGCGCAAGCCCCGCAACAGCTCCACGAGGCCCTCAAGAGGCGTTCCGAGCGGCGCGAAGTGACCCCAAGACGCCACAATCGGTGGTGGACAAGCCTCCCTTGCTTAAACCTCCCTGTAATGAAAACGGCCTAGCTAGGACCGAAACCGACTGACCTGGACCCGCAAAAATGACGGCCGCGACGCCCTCTCGCGAACCGAAGACGGCCAATTCGCTAATCGACGAGTCAGGGCAGGAAGTCCATGAACCTCCGACACGAGAGGCTCTCCCGACGGCCGAAATGGGCACCAGCAAGGCCCCAGAGACGCTGCGAGCAGGCCCAAGCGAGCTCCCAGGAGCCGCACTGGAGGAACCAGGCGCCGAGGAGGGCTCCGAGTGTCCGCCCCCTGGCCCACTTGAGAGCCCCGAATGTGAGGCCGAGTGGGGGTCCAGGCTAAGGTGCCTATAACTGTTCTCATGTTCAGCAGCCCCTGTAGAGCCAGGCTTGGAGGAGGTGATGAGCGAGCCACTGGAGGGAGGCCCCCTGGAGAGCTCGAGGATGCCCCCACGAGGCGTCCCGAGCGGATTGCGCGGGCCTGCGCAGGCCTCGGAAGCGCATTGGGGGCGTACAGGCGAGAACACCAGGATTGCAACGCTTCCTTGGTTTTGCAATGATGTTGGCCTGTCTGGGGCTTCCCCGGAGCTCTTGGGGGACACTCGGAGGCCTCTTGAGGCGATCTTGGATGCTCTTGGGGGCCTCCAGAGGCAACTTGAAAAAAGGAGTCCCTCAAATCCGTGTTTTCAAGCTCAACTATCCCCCTCCTTCCCACCTCCTACTCCCCCATCCGCCTCCTTCTCATCGTCCTGCGGCTCCTCCTCAGAGATCATCCTGTTGCACCGCAACGCTTGCGTACACCACAACGCGTCTGCACACCACAGCAGCCGCGTGCACCACAGCGCCTATGTACACCATAGTGCTTCCGTGCATCACAACGCCTGTGAACATCGCGACGCCTGTGCGCACTACAGTAGCCATGTACACCGCAGCGTACGCGTACGCAGGTGAACGCGTGCAACACATCGCCCGTGTGCACCGCAGTGCACTAGCCCTGCGTGGACGTCGATGCCTGCGTGCGCCGGAGCGCCAATGTACTCCTTACAACGTCCCGCGGCAACTGCAAATATTCACACTTTCGCTCGGTTTGCAAGCGTTACAGTTAGGGGGGGGAGGGGGAGTCTTGTGGGGGGAACGGGGTATTTTAAGAACGATCACTCGTCATCTAGTGTTATAAGTTGAGTTGGACTGCGCTGGACTGCAAGCGCGCGCGAAGCGCGTATGATTCTAGTAGATGTACAAAGGGAGAGAGGAACGGAGAGAGAGAGAGAGGGGGAGAGAGAGGAATAAAGAGAGAGAGAGAGAGAAAACAAAAAAACAGAGAACATAAGAAACGCCAGGGAGGCACGCGACGCAGCCACACGCACCTCCCAAAGCCAGACCCCGCCGCCCAGATCGATCCGCGAGGACCCAGGGGGAGCCCTGGCGACGGGGCGAGCCACGCCAGACCCGACATCGTCGGCAGAGCCTACCAGACGGCCAGGCACCTGCTCGGGCACGTGCAATCGCACGCGCCAGCGCACGGACAGCCGCACGCGCACCCAGCGCAGGAGGCACTGAACTGAGCGCGGTGTGCGCCCGACGCGATGCTGCCACGGCGCCCGCCCTCTCCGCGCCGGGAACGCCCAGGCAGCGAAGAGCTCGCCGAGGCCGTTGTGCGCGCGCCCTCGCGCGTGCCGTCGGGCCGTGCCACCGGCAGCGCTCGCGCTCCGGACGTCGCCTCACCGCCGCGGCGTCTGGGCCTGCAGTGCCCCTCCTCCTCCTCCTCCTCCTCCTCCTCCTCCTCCTCCTCCTGGAGGGTTCACAACTGGACGATGATGTTTGGCAAGTGGCGTTGTAGACTGTGAATGGTAACCCGATCGATACAGCAGAGAGTTGCGCTCGAGGCCACACAATGCCCTGGCCACTGTAAGCAGCTGTCAGATCTGGTGCACGATAGCAAAGACCATGACCTGTTCAATTATGAGCACCTCGATCACCCCACGAGCATTCTGGTGTGCCATAAGTGTGGGTCCTACTCTGGAAGGGTGGGTCGAGGGCTCACTGGAGCTTGCGGCACTCGAGTGGCTCAC